CACTAGCATGGTGGAAAAGCCCTATACATGCTTAGTATTGTTATTAATAGGGACAGTGTATAAAAAATCTAATCATTGAAGGAAAACTGATATTTCTGATTATGGTATTAAGGATTAGTCTTCTAAAGGGTTTTTTCAAAAAGATTTCTGAGGAGATATTTGTCTGGGCATGCTCTTCCAAAGCCAGCTGTTTTGCACATAGAGTTGTAATCAGTAGTATTTCTTTTAATCTTTCTGCTAGAAGCAAAAAGGAAGAAGCAAATAACTTTTAATGACTGATTAGAATGTGGAAACCAAAATAAAACACACAGTAGATAGTCTAGAAGGAAAAAACTGGCGATGGTTGTTCTCGTGCATGTTGTAGCTTTCTTTTGGATGCTTGTTTAGGGTGTGATGGGCTTCGTTGACAGCTCAGCTGGTAAAGAATCTGCCGGCCGTGTAGGAGACCTGGGTTCAATCCCTGGGTCGGGAAGATCCTCTGGAGAGGTGAATGGCTACCACTCCAGTATTCTTGCCTGGAGAATTCCATGGACAGAGGAGCTTGGTGAGTTACAGGATACTGGAGTGGGTTGCCATGCCCTCCTCCAGGGGATCTTCCTGACCCACAGTCTTCTGCATCTCCTGCATTGGCAGGCAGATTCTTTACCACTGCGCCATCTGGTAAGCTCGAAGGTACCTTTCGTCCAAATACACCTTAGGCAGGTGCAGCTAAAGCATCAGTACCTGCTTTGTAAAGCAATTTGTATTTATAAATATATTTATATTGCGTATTAAGTATGTATGTAGCTCTTTTTATAGCTAACTTTATTGTGCACTTATTGTGCTAGTGCTGTGATTAACATGTGATAAGCAAAGCTCTCAATCTACGAAACAACTTCATAAGGCCGGAAATACATACAAGAAGCATCTTACCCAAAGTCACATAGTCACTCAGCTAACATTTAATGACCTGTACTATATGTCAGACACTGTTTTAGGAGCTACAGATACATTAGTGAATAAAACAGAAAAGATCTCTGCCATCTTAGAGGAATTGTATAACTTATAATTCCAAAAATGAGTTAAGTGCTTTTCTATTCATACTTAAAAGTTGGCATTAAACAATATAAAGAAGAATAGTAAATTTTGCCAATAATTAAAATTTTTAATTTTTCTTTATGGAAAATAACATTAAATACTAAGTTAAAAAAAAAGAAAAGGCATGACAAGTTGAGTGGGAAAACTCAGAAGAAAGGAAGAAACTTTTATTTTTTACTAACATTAATAACATTATTACATTAGTTTTATAATAAGACATTCTGCATTTTCACTTTGCACTGGACCATGCAAATCACGTGAGCTGGCCTTGTGGGAGTGCTACTTTAGACTGAATTATCAGGAGAGGTCCCTCTGAGGAAACTGCATTTAAGCTGATATCTAAAAGACCAAAAGAAGCCAACCAAGGGAAGATTAGGGAAAAAACATTTCAGGTAGAGGGATCAGTTAGTGCAAACGTCCTAAGGCAAAGAAACTGTTTTCAAGAAAAAGAAAAAAGGCTAATTTCACCAAAAAGTAGTTTTTAAAATTTAGAGTGGCAAAAGATAAGCTTACAGTTTGGAGAGGCCAGAGTGTGAAAAGCTTTGAATCTAGAAGAATTCATTCTATTTGTGTTAATTAGCTATTGGAATGTTTCAGGCAGAGGAATAACATAGATGACTGATGCTTTAAGAGATCATTTTTTTTTTTTTTTTTGCAGTGCGGATGCAATAGTGGACTCAGGGAGATCATCCTGAGTAGTCTATACCTGAAGAAATCCTCATCCTTCCAGATGGAATTTATCATACTTTTCTCATAATTTCTTTTATTGCACTTACAGCTTTTAAAATTTGTCTTTCTGAACTAAACTGTTAGACAGTCTTAATTCTCTCCATATAACTAGCGCCCAGCATCACATGCATATTGCAGTCACTTATTAAATATTTATTGAGTAAATAATTGGGAAAGGAATTTTTACTCTTACGGTAGAAGCTCTTTCCTCAGAATCTTCTTCAACTTAAGGTAATTAATTGGAAGATTCAAAAGGAAAGGGGTTATAGCAGACATAAGGAATCTGAAGCAAATAAAAAAATATAGTTGATTTAAAAATGTTGAAATTTGGGAGAAAAATACTGACTCAATCACAATAGGAATTTGAATTTTCATGTTACCTCTTCCTGAATCCATATGCAATATGTATCCAAAGACACAGCTATTACTGGTGTTAATATTTTCACTGCAAGTTCCAAACTGATGCGGGCTTCCCTGATCGCTCAGTTGGTAAAGAATCTGCCTGCAATGCAGGAGACCCTGGTTGGATTCCTGGCTTGGGAAGATCTGCTGGAGAAGGGATAGGCTACCCACTCCAGTATTCTTGGGCTTCCCTTGGGTTTAGCTGGTAAAGAATCCGCCTGCGAAGTGGGAGACCTGGGTTTGATCCCTGGGTTGAGGAGATCCCCTGGAGAAGCCAAAGGCTACCCACTCCAGTATCCTGGCCTGGAGAATTCTATGGACTATAGTGACTTTCACTTTCACTTTTCCAAACTGATGGCCTGGGATTAAGGTTGGCCCCAGACCTATTTTGATTGATTTGCATAGTATGTAAATATAGTGCTGAGTTAGTTATTGATGTTTATTTTATTTTTTTATTTTTATTTATTTATTTATTTTTATTTTTTATTTTTTTCATTTATTTTTATTAGTTGGAGGCTAATTACTTTACATCATTGCAGTGGGTTTTGTCATACATTGAAATGAATTAGCCATGGATTTACATGTATTCCCCATCCCGGTCCCCCCTCCCACCTCCCTCTCCACCTGATCCCTCTGGGTCTTCCCAGTGCACCAGGCCCGAGCACTTGTCTCATGCACCCAACCTGGGCTGGTGATCTGTTTCACCCTAGATAATATACGTGTTTCGATGCTGTTCTCTTGAAACATCCCACCCTCGCCTTTTTAAAACTAAGGAATTTTCACATAAAAGTCTTACTTTTCTCTATCTCTTGAGAAGTAACAAACATATCAGCAACCAAAAGGCTTGGCAGCATTGGGTCTGCATTCCAGTTGACCAGAGTCAGGAAGGATCATTACTTTTGTAAGAAGCCTATGTTCTCTATTTTAGCACAGTTCTTACTCTGCTTGCTCCACTTACTTAAATTACTTGTCGAGCTTCTGGTGACACTTGTGTTTGTGATATGAATGTACTACTGCTATTTTAAATGAGAATTTTTTTTTTTTAATAAAAAGGTTTTAAATTATACATTTCTGTTCAGTTTTCTTGCTATATTTGTTTAGCTTTACTTGCCTACCTTGTAGCTTTTATCAATCAAAGAAGCAAGGTGGCCAGACCAGATCCACCCAAATGTAGGACTGCCAGGGAAGGAGAAAATCATGCTCTGATTTGTTGACAGACGAAACACTGAAGGGAAGGAGGCTCTCCAGAGGGCGGCCACTGGAGAACTTTACCACCAATTTGATCTGCACAAGATACTCACCATCTCTGCCCGCTTTACTTCCTACTTATATGTCTGTCAGGGCTCAGAAGAGTATTGAGGTCAAGGGATGGAATAAATTTAAAACTTCTGTTATTACATATCACACAGGCCTTCACTTAAGATCACTCAACACTTATTGTATGTCCCAATGTGTGCCACTGCCCCTGACCCACGCTGCTGTATCTCTGATGTGGATGATTACATGTGCCATTGTTGGTACTTGGGTCACTGTCTTTATTTGGGTGGAGCCATTTAATGTATTACACTGTTTCATATGAAGCCGCACACACACACACACACACACGTATATATATATGGGGCAACCCACAAAAGATAACTCTGTGGCAAAGTTAATAAAGGCTGTTTCCACAAAGCTATCTAAAGGCATGGGGAAGAACAATAGCCACAAGCAGAAATCACAGTGGGTCAATGTTGATATAATCACGGGATTGGGAGGTGCTTTTTGAAGGCCAGAAGGGAAAGAAAGTCAGTTGAGAAGGATGTACTACACAGCAGGTCTTGGTGGATATACAGTTCTGGGGACTCTTGGCAGTACCAGGGTGCAGTTCATTGACCAGGGTAGAAAGGATTTCACAGAAAGGCATTCAAGGGTCTCAAGAGTCAATCATTACCACATCCCACAGGCGATGGACTGCAGAACAACCCCGCTGACCAGAGGCAGTGGCCAGAGGGAGCTGGGTTTAGTCTGGATGCCTGACTCCTGGGAAGAACGGCGTTCAGAGGGGGCTGGGATAAGGGTCAGAGTCCAGGCTTCAGAGAGGACAGAAAGCTAAGGGTGGAAACAAAGGCGAAGCAAAGCGGCAGCGGGCAGATTGCAGGCTCTGCTTTTCGAAGGCGCAGGCTGCAGCAGGGCGGGCACTAGCCGCGGCATTCTCACAGCCGGCAAGGGCGCCGGGCTCGTCACCCCGGGCGTGGGCAACCCGCGGCCGGCATCCCTCCCCCGAGCGCCTCCCGGCAAGCAGCGCCTGGCAGTGCCCACCGAGGGCAGGGCGGGGCGCGCGCCGGCCAGCGCTATAGGTGGGGCCGGCGGCTCGGCCGCCGCTGACGCAGTGCGGGCCAGCAGCGGGAGAGTCCAGGCGGGCGTGGAGGGTTCAGCCCGGCCGCCCGCAGGCCGCGTTCCCATCGGAGGGGGCAGGGCGCACTCACCCCGCCAGCAGCAGGCCGCCGGCGGCCTGCTGGCTCCGCCGCCACCGCCGAGCTCGCCATTCAGCGCGCCTCGTCTCCGCCCCAGTCCTGGGGGCTGAGCTGGGGAGAAGGGGCGGGCGCCCGCGAGCAGTGAATCACCGCCTCCGCCTGCCTCCGAGCCGCCGCCACCTTTCCATTCAGTCGCCCAACATGGCTGGAGTGCGGCGGAGGTGAGCCGACCGCCCCCTGCAGCTCCAGCCTCCTGAGCGCGAGCGCCGCGGCTGCAGCGGCGCCTCCGTTCTGCGGTGCAGAGGCCCAGGGAGCCGGCTGTCGCTAGCCGCCGGCATGTGGGGCGCCCCGGACGAGAGCTCGGTGCGGGTGGCTGTCAGGTAAGGACGGACGCGGCGAAGGGCGGGCTGCGGGCTCGCTGAGAGGGTCTGCCCTGACCCGGGATCCCGGCCGCCGCGCTGCGGAGACCTAAGGAGCCGCCCCGCGGGGACCCGGGGGCTCTGGAAACCGAGCCCGCGGGTCCCCGCCGGCCTGGCGCGCGAGGCCGGGTGCTGGCCGGAAAACCTAGCGCCCTCGGCCCCCTGGCGTTTGCAGGTGACGGGCGGCTGCGCGGCGCCGGGTCCCCAGGGGCCCCCTCCGGGTCGCGCACCCCAGGAACAGTTACCTCAGGTCTGGCCGCCTTGGGCGATCGCCTGTCGGGCTTTGCCCAGAGGAGCTGCCTCTCTCCGGGGTTGCGGTGCGCTTCTTGTGTTTGTAACGTGACTGTCTTCACGGGTACCTGCAACTCCGGCCTTCGTAGGCAGGAGACAAAGCCTCAGCACAGCGCTGCCAGCCGCGGGGATCTAGATCTCTGTGCAAATAAATGGGCGTCTTGTTAAGCACCGGCGGGGACTAGATAGCACCAGGGTGTGGGTGTTGAAGACATTTCTGGCGTTGCAAGGGATATTACATTTAAGGCAAAATTCACTGGTGATCAGTCTGTAGAAGGAAGACTGTTCAGTAAGTGGAAGGGTTACATGAGGGAGTGGTGAAAAAGAAACATCCTGAGGTTCAGCAGGGTGGTTACAATACAAAATTACACATTCCCGAGTGTGAGTTTTTAAATGCTGGATACATCAAAATTGTAATTTGGTCAAGGACAGATACATGAGAATCGAACGTAATTAGGATTATTTTGATACGTATGGAGAAGCGGAGCTCATGGAAAATTGCAACATCATCATTGAAATATTAATGAAGGCTTCATGATAGAATAAGTGCGTTTCTTTTATAGCTTTGATACTTTACTGTGAATTCATTTCTCTTTATGTACACATGATAGGATTATAAAAATAATGTTTTCTCTGAGAAATTATTTTTAAAAATTCTCCACCCTTGTAGTCTTTCTGAAAAGCTGTTCTTATCCTATCATATTAGCATTTCAATAATTATTTTAGTGACAAATCTTGTTAGTTATAGAAATGGTAGTTTTATATATACTTTGTATTTTAATCAATCTAAAGAATAAGATGAATTTCAAAGATATTTCTCATCCCTTTTACAGGCCAGAAGATAACCACCCATGGAGGTGACATTTTTATGACTGTTTAGAATCACCTGTTATAAAACTTTTGAAGTTTTAATTTGGCCTCTCTGGTTATTTTAGGGCTATTTATTCAGTTGTTGGATTAGTTGTTTCTCCTATTTACTGTTCCTATCTCTCTTTTGGCTTTTTAACACTTACTAGTGACTCTACCACCACCGAGGAAGGGGAAGGAAAAAGAGAGGAAACTCAGTAAGAAGCAGTTTTGTTAATTAGCAGGTCTGGTCAAAGAAGGTGAAGAAGGAGCATAAAATAGTAATGAAAATTAAAAAATTGGCTATCAGAGAAAAAGCTGTTACAGAGTTAATATTTTTATCTGTGAATTCTGTAGAATATCATAGGGTAGTTTATTGACCATGTTGTTAAAACTGATGCTGCTTGCAATGGAGATGAACAGAGTAATGAATCACCCCAAAGTGATATTGACAGATAAATAACGTATATTTGCTTTTGATATGCATATCAGTTTTTTAAAAAGGAAATATGTGTAGGTCTGTTTGTTGGAGAAAGGCTTTACAAAAACACGTTGTGAAGTAAGCCATGTTTTGAGGGTCTATTTTATTTTTATTAAATACATTGAATAGATTCACTGGTTAAACTTACTTTGCATAGGATAGGAATAGCTTAGATAGCACTTCTGTATTTATAAAGTATGTGGACATTTATTTCCATTTACAACACATATTTATTGAAATTAAGTTCTATCTCTTCTATCCTAATCTCTGAGCTAAAAAGAGAAATAATTATTGGACACACAGTATGTGCCAGAATCAGTGCTGTGTGTTAAGATGTTTTATATGCTATGAAATTGCATTTATCTCTCATAACAATCTTTGACTTAGGTCTGTTATTATTATGGCTATTTTACAGGTGAGACATAGAAGGATTAGGTGATCTTCCCCAAGTTAAACTGGTAGCAAGTGGCAGAAATAGCATTCTAATTCTAGACAGCTTGATTCTAGAGCTCAAATTCTTAACCATTAAATCTTTACAGGTGAGAGGCAAGAACATCCTTTGCAAACCTTTACTTAGCTTAAGGTCACTTGCCTCTTCCTGGTTCTGAACTAGTTTAATTAAAAATGAATGACTTTGACAGGATTTTTATGCCTTATATTTCTAGAAAAGATAGAGCTCAGAAAGGGGAAACCTGAACTTACTTACCTAAACTGTCTTCCCGATTTTTAAATCTTTGCAGTGACCTCCAGTCTTTCCAGTTTGTGATAGACTTTATCAGCAGGGCAAATAAATCAAGACATAGACACAAATGATCAGAACACTTGATTAGCTTTTACCCTTCAATGAATGTAATAACAAGTAATAGAAAGTTGGCTCTACTTGTGTAAATGCAATGTCCTAGAGGTCTTTGTGTTTTATCAGATATGGAGATTTACCAATGTGTTAAAGTTGATGACTGTATTTTAGGTTTCTCAAAAAAAGTGCATGGGTCATATTGTATGACCTTTGGAAAAAGAAGTTAAATAGAAAATTTCTTATTTCGAGAGAACATTTTAAATTCAATTTCTGAAAAATGCCTTTGGATAGAGTATATCTGAGATGTTGGTGGCGCTGGTGATAAAGAGCCTGCCTGTCAGTGCAGGAGACCTAAGACATACAGGTTCAATCCCTGGGTCAGGAAGATCCTCTGGAGAAGGAAATGGCAACCCACTCTAGTATTCTTGCCTGGGAAATCCCATGGACAGAGGAGCCTGGCGGGCTAGAGTCGGATAGGACTGGAGCAACTTAGCACTGCAGCATGGAGATGTTCTGTAGGGTATCTTTCTTTCGTTGTGTAGATGTGGATTTAGAACCCCCCTCTGCCACTATGCAACCCCATGTGGGTATTGAACACTCAAATTATGATTAATGCTGTAACCAAACCAAACTTGGTTTCACTCTCCCACCACACAGCAAAGCCAATCTATTGACACGAGGTTGTGGTGAAGTAGAGGATAACTTATTGAAGGGTACCCACTGTGGGGCCAAGCAAGGAGAATGGGCAGTTCATGCTCAAAAGATGCAAATTCCCTGATGGCTTTCAGGGAAGGGTGTTTAAGGGCAAGGTGAGGGCCAGGGTCATAGGGTGCCGGATCAGCTTTTGGGTATCTTTCTGACTGGTTGGTGGTGAGGTGACAGGAGTTAACATTTTGGTTTTTCAGGAGTTAACACCATCAACCTTCTGGTTCCAACTGGTGTGGAGTCTATCTGCTTGTGGTCAGCATGAGGTTAACTTCTTCCACTTGGTTGGGGTTTTAGTATCTGTAAAACCACTCAGAAATGTGGCTCAGAATATTACCTGTAGCCCTTGTGGAGGAACTAATGGCCTTTGACTTAGTTTTAATACAAATAGAACTGTTAGTACTTTGTCTTGCTTGACTGTTTTCCTTTCTGTCTGCATTACTCTGATTAAATATGCTCTTAAGAACTTGGGGACAGCTGAAACTTTTCTGCAGACAAGAGCCTGGTGACATAGGGTGGCGTATGTCTGCCCCCAGGAAGGCGCTGAAGGGTTGGTTGGTTTCAATGCTACTGAGAAGCTAAATTTTAAATTTTATTTAATGTTAATTAAATTTAAAAACTGTCCATTTAGTTTTTGGAAAGCTTGTAGGTATGCCTGGAATGATGTAGTTATATGGACCTATTTTTTAACTGTAAAGTTTATCAAATGTTATAAAGTTTATCAAATACTTATAAAGTATTTCTGATGGAAATTTAGTCTCCACATTGACGTATTTTCTGTGTAATATATATATATATATATATTAAAGACAGTATGAGAAAATGAATGCAAATATATCAATGATCTTTATATTGATTACATATTAAAATGATAGTATTTTTCTATGTTGAGTTACATAAAATGTTAAAATTATAATAATTTCATCTACTTTTCCTTTTTTAAAACGTGGCTACCAGAAATTTTAAAATTAAATATAATGTTGTTGCCATGATATTGCTATTGAATAGTGCTGCTCTACAGGTTTTTAAAAATGTGAGAAAGAGTATAGGAAAAAAATTGCTCACAAATATTATTCAGCCATAAAATGGAATGAAACTGTGTCATTTGCAGAGACATAAATGGATTAGAGGCTGTCATACAGAGTGAAGTTAAGTCAGAAAAGAGGAAAACAGGTATCATATATTAATGCATATATGTGAAATCCAGAAAAATGGTATAGATAATCTTATTTGTAAAGCAGAAATAGAGACACAGATGTAGAGAACAAGTATATGGATACCAAGGGGGAGTTAGGGGGTGGTATGAATTGGGAAATTGGATTGACATATACACACTGCTGTGTATAAAATAGATAACTAATGAGAACCTACCCTAAAGCATGGGGAACTGTACTTAGCACTCTGTGGTGGTGGGGGGAAGGAAATCCCCGAAAGAGGGCATTTATACGTATGGCTGATTCACTTTGTTGTATAGCAGAAACTGATACAGCAGTGTAAAGCAACTAGGCTTCAATAAAAAAGTGAAAAACCAAAAAAACTGTTCACAACCACCACGTCATAGATCTGGAATTTTCTGTAGATTGAGAAAATACCAAAATATTGGATGTCTGTTTTTAGAGTAGTTGTATATAAACACACACACATATGTATCTATGCACATATATCCATATACGATTTGATTTAACAGTAACATTTTTTCCTTCTGGGTTGCATAGGTATAGAAAGTTCTGGGTAATAGGTTGATGGTACCTGACTTCCTAGAAAATGTAGTAAGCTGATAGATGCTGTCTACAAAAATGAGCAATGAGGTTTAGTGTATATTCTATTCTTATTACCTAAGTA